AATATTTTTTAAATTTAGATTTAAGTATTTATCTTATTACTCCTATTCTTTAGTTTATTTCAATTAGAATTTCAAGATATATCAATTTTATTATTTTTTCATGAAATAATTAAATATATATTTTGAGGTTATTCTAAAAAATATTATATTATATTCAAATATTGCAAGCTATAATTAAATAAAAATATATATATATTTAAGAAAGATTAAAAGCTATAAAATAATCGATAAGAATTTAATAGAAGAAGATCTTATAAACAATAATATTCTTTAGAGAATTTTATTCGATCTAAACGATACCAATCTAGAAATAATTATTTTAATATGTTTCTTTTTCTCTTTACCGTTTTTGAAATTTATTTGAATTTCAATCAATTATATAAGAATTTCTATCTTTATGAAAAAATCTTATAAATATTTATTTTCATTATTAAGATATTCTTAATTATATATCTAATAATATCTTCTATTCGAATAGTAATTTTAAATAGAAAAATTCAATATCTTATAAATTTTCGCTAATATCTAAATCAATTAGAAAAAATTATAGATTCTTAAATAATTCGGAAATTTCGATTCCAACTACCGACACTCTTCTAGTTATCCTAATCCAAGTATCCCATCTCTAATATGAATAGAGAAATAGATAAGCAAATACCGAAACAAGCAACTGACCTCACGTACGCAGAAATATAATTCAAATTCATGTTAAAATAACGCACTAATTATAGCAAATATTTTCTTCTAAAATTGAAGAAATAAGAATCCGTCTATCATAGATCTATAAGATAAGAATAAGAAACTCTAACAAACATAAACAAATAACAATAAGTGCAGTGATGACAATCTTTTTTCATTAATCATGCAACTTCTCAATTTCGGTGCAGAACTCGGAAAAGATGTCGTCCATCCTTGGTCAAATATGTCAAGGACCAGAGGACACGATTCAGGATGAGAGCGGCACGGGCAAGAATCGTCATACGATCATACATGTTATATGCTTGCAGCCTTGTCTTTTCACATCGGGCGTTGACGACTCAACACCGAAGCTCGTCAACTGAGCTCTCCACGCATCGTGAGTGACCTTCCCAGCTGCTTGGGACTAGACGAAGTATTGACGAACAACAATCAGCCCGCAAATTACGGTGGACTGCCACCAGTAGAATGCACGGCAGGCCTGTATCATGGTCGGACTAAGGGAAACTGCAAAGCATCATCTCCTTCTTTTCCCCTTCAAAATGCAGGCATCACGCGGGCTCGGTTGGTGCAAGCCAGGTCGTCCAGTTTTGCTAGGGCAGCTTCAAACTGCCGGTTCAACTTGCTCAGATCCGCACCTCCCCTCGATGCCTCAGTGCAAACTAACATGAAGCTGAAGCAACTGAACAGCATCCGACTTTAGTAAAAGAAGGTTTCTCTTTCTGATGTCGCAGACGTTCACGTGAGCAACATTGACGGCCTTCGGCCCTTCAAGGAGACTACCCTAAACCCTAAACTCCTTCATTAAACCGCTGCAGTAGAGGCACGCCGGTCGAAGGAGCAGCCCCACTGGACTCCTTCCTCTGGGCTAGGTAGGGGTGTGCTTTTTAAGCTTCTGCCCTCTTCCCACGAAAGACTAGACGCTCCAAAATAACTTGGAACATATGACATGGTCCTGTTCGAGGTGTCTCTCGTCGTCAGAGGTGAGCAGAACTGATTACTCTCACTTCAACCCAAACTAGCAGCACACTAGCTGCAGCGTGGAAGTGAAAGCCAGCGATCAGAGAAGCCTCAAGCACTGCTGCGAAAAACGTGACAACTACGCACAAACATGACAAACATCGCCTTCCCCTTAAAAGACTTGCCGCGAATGCTGAATGATTGAATGGCGTGTTTTTGTGCGGCGGTCCCGATGACATCCTTCCGAGGCTCCTGCGCAAAGTCTGCACGTTTGCATAGCAGACATCATGCAACGAGCGGCCCAGATCGCCACATCTTGTTATCGTAGACCACAGGACGATGCTGTTGGAGTTATGTTGCACATACATCACCACATGATGCATGCCTTGTCGTCGGCTTTCTCCGGAGCGAGCCGTGAAGCCTTGGACTTTGCCTTGGCCTTGGCCTGCAAGGTGAACTGGCGGGTAGGCCGCTAGGCCCTTTCTTACGGTCGGCACTGATGACTTCTACTGCAACCCTAAACCCTAAACCCTAAAACCCTAAACCCTAAAACCCTAAACCCTAAAGTTCCAGCCTTTGCATCTGCTCTCCCGGAGCTGACACTTGAAAGCAGCTTCTCCTTCTCCTCAGGCGCTTTGCGTTTCTCCTTTCCCTTTGGCTCCGGCTCCTTCCCGACTGGCGATGTTTGGCACCTGGAGGGTTTAGGGTTTAGGGGGAGTTACGGGGCGTGCGTAGGAACCCCAAGCCAGGGACAGAAGGTCAAACGGGAGGGACATAGCTGCAGTCGAGGCACACATTGCCGGCTGGGTCAGTGTCAAGGCTGTATCCTGAGCTTCAGCAAGCTACATGTGAACCCTTCTTGCAATATCTGTCCATGTCATAAGCCCATTAACATAAACATGCTTCCTCTTTTTTCCAAGAGGCTGTCAAGCGAAGCCAGCAGGCCCTTTCACATGGCAGGCAACTATGCATGGAGGCGTGGAGCCCTGTTGCAGTTTGCTGGCATATGCTGGCAGCAGCTACGGGTGCAAGTGTCGTGGGGCTTTCTGGGTGCCTGAGCGCTGTTCTCAGGCGCGCTTTTCTGGAGGACTCTGCGGCGGACGGTCGCTGGCGAAGCCTGCGGCAGGAATGTGGACGGCTAGCGACTAGCAGTTCTCAATTATTGTGAGTCTGGCGAATCCGCAGGCATTCAACGGAATCATCTTGGTCCATCGGTAGACCGTGGGGATCGGGCATGAAACCCTCCACCGTCACCTCGATTCCACAGCCCTCTTCCAGCGCCTCAGCCTGCGAGCTTGCACCGCGCTTCCCCATAGCTCGACTCGCTGTCCGCACTCGCACCGTCTAGTCTCCCGTGTCAATTTCAGATGTCAGCTGAGTCGATGCTGCGAATTTAGTTTTGATATCAGACAACTTCCACAAGGGCGGCTGAACCTTGGCATCAAATGTAAAGTCACTGAGAAGTCTTCCGTTAGGAATGGCTTAGAATGGCTCGAGCCGCCCGGCTGCTCAATCGCGCCAGCCTTTCCACCACATGTGCCGTTTATGTAGTGCACCTTTGCGGCTGCTCCATCAGCAGCATCGTGCTTAGAGGTCAGTTGTTGCAAAATCCTCCTCAGCTTGCTTGGCTACTATTAAGGCTACCTTCTCCTCCAAGCAAAGATATATTAAGGGCATCCCCAAAAAGGAACCACAATGGAGACTATAGGTATTAAGGCTACTCACTTCTCCTCCAAGCTAGATTGAATTCACAACCCGGTCGGCCTCGGGCACTGGTGCAGCGTCCATATGGGAGGCGCTCGCGTCCTCCCCAGAGAACCCAATATCCCTTAGTTGGGAAATATACCTTAAAGTATAGAGTCCTTATATTATGGTTTAAGGTATATTCCTTACTCTTAAAGGGGATATTAAGGACTCTATAACTGAAGGTTTATTCCTCAACTACCGGGGATGTTAAGGACTCTAAAATTTAAGGCATATTCCTTAATTAAGGGGTATTGGGATCTTCAGCTTACTCTAAACCCTAAACCCTAAAACCCTAAACCCTAGTGTCCTGGTTGCAGGTTGCTTTGCAGGTTTTCAATCTGAAGACCTGGCTCTTGCTCTTTCGCATCATGTTTAATCGTGTCAGTGCCCCCCTCCCCCTGGCACCCCCACCACAACCCGACATCGTAGGGGTGGAAGTTGACACCCCTGCCTCTGCTGCGGGTTGTGGATCCGTCCCGCGCATGCTTGCTGCCTACAGAGCGGACTCAGATCATAGCGGGAGCATGATGTTACAAGGATCCACATGGGAAGTGCAAAGGAATCAACCTTCAATGAAAAACTGGATACTACATCTCTTGGCCCCGGACCTCCTCCAGCTCACCACCGGATACCACGTTCATGCACTCGGTCGACGTAGCGGCACCTCTGGCCTCCTGCGAGCAAAGCTGCAAGGAGTGATGCGCTGCAGAATTCATTTCAGGCTTAGCCAGAAACAGATGCTGATTTGAGCTGAGAGAATAATACACACGTCTACATGTTCGTCCCGACGCGATCCCATGTCAGAGCCAAGGCCTCTTCCGAGTCATCCTCTTCCTCTTCTTCGTCCTCTTCGGACACTTCCTGGCCCTGCGTCGAACTGAAGTGCAGCCGCTGAATTCAGGTGCTGCGGGCCGACGGCCTCGCCATCCCCGGGCTGCGCAAAGATGTCGTCGACCTCCTGCGGCACAGCGATCATACTAAAGAGGGTGGCCGAAGAACGGGGCTGCCGAATCCCGCATCACAGAACTCACCGCATGGAAGGCTATGTTATGGCTTGTGTGGGACTTCTGCACCTGCTCAGGGCTTTGTAGTAGGACCTAAGTTCCACACACTCGAGTTGCGACTGTTGGAAACTCAGGCGCACTTAAAGCTCTCTCCTGGACCACCCTTGCCTTTGGGTTCTTGCGCCTCCGCTTGGCTGGGCGGGGGATGACCTGTCAGGCAAATCTGCGAGATGAGAGCTGTCCCTAACCCTCCAGGTATCTATTATAGAGGGTACTAGAGCCCTTAGGACCCTATATATATATATATATACATATATATATATATATATATATATAATATAGTAGGTACCTGGAGGCCTGGAGGGTCAGGGTGTGGGCTTCTGAGACACTTCGGTGCCTGGGAGCTCAGCTGCCGGAGGCTCCGCTCTGACACGTCAGAACCCTTTTTGCATCCTTTTTGAGCAAGCCGCGGAGCTTGCCCCCGGGATACCATAAAGCGCCGAAGATCCGCGCTTAAATTCCCACTAAGAAGGCGGCATAAGGCCAAAATTGACCGGCAAGGAACCGTATTAAAATGTAGGTCCGAGGATGTCGTCGGCCACAAAGTGAAGCTGTGGAGCAAACAACACCGCAGACCCGGCCAGCAATCGGCTACCAGTCGACCGGTTGGAAGTTTCTCAGCAAGCAGCCGGTGACTGGCTGCTGGCCATTCCTCTGCTAGTTCTGAACTCTGAAGTGTATCATGGCATCCCAGAAACCGCTGTGACCAGAGCACTAATTGCAACATACATTTATTTACATATATATATATATACACACACATACCAACATACATACATGCATGCATGCATGCATGCATACATACGTACTCACATACATGCACGAACACAAACACACAAACATACATACATTCATACATACAGAACCATATAAACATGTCATATACAGTATGAGTTTCCACATGTATACATACGCACTCCTTCTGTGCATCTGGCCGCGCTTGGCCCTTGGCTTTACTTTCCAGTCTTCATAACCGCATGCTGTTCATGGGTAGTGCTCGAAAGTACTCTAAATTAGGGCCCCTTTTTGGGTACCCAAAGTAGTACGACACCCTTATAAACGGACCTTAAAAGGAACCCTAATTTAGAGAACTACCCTGCATGTCCTTTTGGCCGGTGACTGGCTGATGATGAACACGACGATGCCGCCGCCGGGGACAACGACGGGGATGAGCTTACTATAATGTGCTAATATACGGTAGTCTACTATCACTATAATACACCATAGGGTCAGGGTATTGTAATCTGACATACAACTCATGCATGCCGATTTAGCTGTCATTTCGTGCGATGTTGCCGTATGCTCGATGAACGCCCATGAGGTACTTAGACTCAGTGCCTTCTGACGGTGAGTGGCCGGGCCAATATCCTCTGAAACACACAACGGGAAATCGGAAATCGCTTCCAAGAATGCCGAAGATTCATCGTAGAGATGACAGGGTCCAGAACGCGAGCTGCTCCATCCTCTCCACAATACAAGGCTTTCCAGCCCTCCGGAACCCAAAGCTGCCTTGCCTCTTATAACTATGAAAACCTCCAGGCTTTGAGGGAGGCCTTTATACTTCAATACCCCAGACCCGAGTACAGGACATCTTTGGCTCTTGGACTCTCCTAGCCCACTGTGTCACATGCCGTTGCCACGCATGCAGGCTGAACCTCTTCATTCAATCACCAACTACTGTCTGCTCCCTCCTAAACCCTAAACCCTGAACCCTGAACCCTAAACCCTAACCCATTTTGAGGGAGGGGTAGTTGACCCTGACATGCTCCCCTGAGAGTCACCCACAATGTTCTTCGCATGCTTGTCTGTCACAAAACCAAGACCCGCTGCGCCCTCCTCTGAGGACTTTTGGGCAAGACAAGGACCCCAAGTAATACCGAATTGTACTATAAGTTCAAACCCCCAAACCCTAAACTCACCCTAAACCCATTAAAGCCAAAAACCCTACCGAAAAGCACATTAAACCCTAGAATGCCCTAGAAGGTGAATTTTTAAACCCCAAACCCCAAAATCAGGCAAACCCCTGCACCCTTTTCCCTGTCACTCCTCGGCACTGAGGGGCGGCGCGCTCTGCACATGCGGCTCGGCCTCCGCCAGCGGCTCTGGCTTCATCCTCGAGATGGGGCCGAAGGGGTGTTGGTTTATATAGGGCTTAGGGCCTTGATGGGGCTGAAGGGGTGTGAGGTCTCAAGGATTTTGCCGCAGCGCGGAAGGTGAAGATCTATATCCATACCTATACCTGCATAATTTAGGGAAATATTTATATGTGTCCACATATCGTGGTTTTTCAAAATAACGCTTATCTGGGAACGGCCAGATGTGGTAACTTTCGTGTAAATATGTTGTCCTTTCGCGGCTACTTTAG